ATCTCCTGGAAATCTGTCTGCATCTGTTTTATGGATTCCATTTGTTTCCTATGTTGGGATTCCATCATGTTCCTCAGCTCCCCTATTTTTTTAATCTGTGTCCTTTCTAGATTTATTAATCATGTCTTGCACTGTGGACACAATCTCTGTTGTTATCTGATAAATTATTTCTGATTTCATTTTTTTGGATTCTCTTTTGTTGCCAGTTCAGGGAGTCCAGGTGGTTGAGTATGAGAGTGTTCCATCTCATTTCCCTTTGGGGTTGCTGTAGGTGATCTGGAAGTCTGGTTTTGAGACTTGTTTACATGTCTTCTCATTTTGACAGGGTGGGGTGTGCTGCTGGCACCCGCATGGCTCACCTCCTTGGCTCTGGGCACAGCTGTGCTCCTTGGCACTTGGGGCAGCGGTATGGCACCACTCTCTCAATTTTTATACTGTATTATTCTCAAAAATATCCTAGACACAATTTTAAGCAACTCTTCTTTAATTACTATCTCTTGTAATCCAACTATTTATGTTCCAACTAAACAATGATCCATTGCTGCAGAAACTATGTTTCATTCATTAATCAGTGTGGAAATGTATGAGCTGCCCTTCGTATTTCAGCTGGACTATACATGTGCCATAGCTGACATGTCACCAAGCATTCTAAGAATTACAATTCCTGAATTACAATTGATCATTGACCCCCTCTCTACCTTACTGTGGCTTCAAGGCAACTCTACATGTTTTATTTTTGTTGAAAGAGCAATTAACTTCTTACATAGCAGAAAGAGAACTGATGCTGTCCTTGAACTTTTGTTCACTGCTTCCCTTTTCTGGCCAGCATTACCAATATTTAAAGATTCTGAGTTCAGAACCAGTTCTCTGGTTTTATTGAACATTTTTCCATTAATTTTATTTGCTTTATCTTCTGATATTGCAAAGTTTCCTTTATTTTGAGCCATTTTTTAAATGCAGCTCTCCAAACAGTCTCTCCTTACAAAATTATAAAATCAGTCTTGATTATTTCAAAGTCATAAAAGTCATTTTGGGGCAATTGCACAATATGAGCCATTACTTCAATATTATTGTTGTTATCCTTTCACCTGAAAATGAAGTAACACCTATCATGCAATGCATTAACAAATACAATCAGTTCTTACCCCACCCTTTCATTATGTGGAAAAGGTCTTTGCAGTGCAGTCTTTGTTTTTCCAGTTACTACTATGCCACATATTTCTTGCCCTCCCTTTTCTTAAGGCTGTTCAGATCTCGGGTTTTGTTTTATTTTGTCTTCTTTTGGTAAACAACTCACAACACAAAAATTACTAGTGAATAAGAAATATTTTGTCAGAAAGGTCAGAGTGTCACTTGTCCTTCTAAACACAAAAGCAGTCTAACTACCTGCTGCCATCCAGAGTGATGCTTGTGGGAGTCTGTCTGGCAATGTGAGTTATACAGATAGGCTCAGGAGTAGAAATGAAGAGGAGTTAGTTCTTAGCATAGGTTGAATGGCTGGCTGAAGGAGCTTTGTAAGCCACACCTTATTTCATGAGCTATTTTGAACTGAAATCGCCCATTTCTAGGTTAAGGTCTTTTTCTATTAGTTCATGTTTGCAGTGCATAATATTTACATTCTTTGTGGGAGTTGATACATGTACATAACACATCTTAATTCATTTTTTATCCCTTTCCTTTAACTCCCACCCCTTTAGTCATCTTTTGATCTTCTTCCTTTTTTTATCTACATACATATTTGCAGTACATAATGTTTACATTTCTTGTGTGTATTGGTACATGGTCTTTTTTCACAGGATTAAGGTCTTTTTCAAGAAATATTCTAGAATGCATTTTGTGCCTGATCACAAGCTGGCAATTATTGGGTTGGCACAAAATGTAGAGTATATAAAAACTGGTTAATAGGTAATAATAGATATACATAATAAGACTTAATATAGTGGATGAGCAAATAACTAAAATCACTCAGCTGAAATATAGTGAAAGCATGTCTCCTGCACTGTACAATTTTAAAGAATACAGCAACTCCCACCTTGTTCTCAGGGGTAAGCCTCAGAGCTACACATTTTTCATTTTTGTCTTAGTGCTAAAACTTGCTTTCTTCCTCCCTAAAAGGCCAGCCAGTTAATTTAGGGATAATTACTATATATGTGTGAGGGCCAAGGATTTAGCTCAATGGTTCCGCTGCTTGCCTTGCAAGTGGAAGGTCCCGAGTTCGATCCCTGGTACCAAAAAAATAAAAATAAATAAATATATATATATGTGTGAATGGGTTTTTGGCCATGTTCGGATTACGATCCAACCAAAGCTATCCTGAATTGCATCAGAATTGGGTTCCAGGCCCACCTAATCAAGTGGTTGGTAACTCTATTTAAGTCCCTAATCTCAATGAATCTCAGTGAAGTAACATAAAATAATCAATATGAAATAAAGTTGAAAAAATCTATAATAATATCTAGATCCATTTATCTTCTTTGTTTATACCAATTCCCTGGCCAGACTCTAAGATTTCTGCCTGTATTGTCTCCTTTTGACTCTCACAATAGCCTCAAAATATTGCTGTTATCTCCTTTTACAGATGAGAAAACTAGACAGGGAGACATTAAATAAATTTCTTAAATACATTCAATATGAATAAACTCACACAATGGTAGAGCCTAGACTCAAACTCATGCATTCTGAATCTATAGCCAATACTCTTAATTTCTACCCTAATATAGGAATCATTTTTATGAAATTCTATAAGGGGGGGGAGAAAGAGACAGATAGAGACAGAGAAACAGAGGGAGAGGTCTCCTGACTGAGTCCCCTTTTATTTATTTTTGGTTTTTGTTTCGTTTGGGTTTTTGTTTTGTTTGTGGTATTTTCCCCTTTCATCTTCACTTTTGTTTAATATTTTACTTTTTTTTTTCTGGTAGCTGGGATCGAAATCATGACCTTGTGCTTGCCAGGCAGGCACAGTGCCACTGCGCCCTATTTTTTTTTTTTTTTACATTTCAAAGTAAATTAAAAATTTTAGGATTTTAATGTAATTAATTGAATGAATGCAGATGTGGCCACAGCCAGTTAGAATGGCATCCCCAGATAGAATAAATATAAAGACACTAAAACTAAAACACAAGGAGTTTTGAGTGAATGAGAGAAGAAAGTTATATAAGTGGTAAATGAGAATGTGCAGAAAAGATTTCTTGGTATTTAACTGAATAAGATTATGTCCTTAATTTCCCTTTTTCTTTTTTAAGGGATGGGAGAGACATAGTGAATTCTGTTACAAAATTGACCCAGTCCTTCGAAGCTTTGACCATGCTTCCAGTGGTTATTACTGTCCCCCTGCACTTATCACCATCACAAACAGGTAAACAAAAATTTCCTAAGAGAAACCTGACTGTGCTTTGTCATGGGAGCTTTTGGAGTGATAAAATCTAGCAATAATAAGAACTTTATCAAAATCTGGAATGTGTTATATTATAGACTAATGAATTCTTTGAAGTATTGAGATGAATTTCAATCTTCTGATGTTATTCCTAAACTAATTTTTGAATGGCAAATAGTAAAATTTCTGGTGATTTTTACTTTCCTTAAAAATTTATCAATTATCTAGCTTTGCTAATATATTCCATTATATTTAGGTTTTATGTTCTAACTACTGGTAATGAAAAAGAAATACGTTATTTAACAAGCGTTTTTTAAAATGTAATGCATATGAGTTGTATGAGGGACTCTTTGCACCAGAAAAGGAAGTATAACTAAAATGTGGAACATATTCAAATGTCTCACCATTGCTTCTTAGTTCTCTTTGGTTTAAATTTAGATTGAGACAGACTGTGCCCATTTTTACACTCCATACAATTTTGTGCTACAGATGTGTCATAGAAGATATAGGCACAACAAAGATGACCTCATGTCACTATCAGTGCTAAGGACAGTGATGGTAGGGGAGAGATTCTTCCATCCCTAAGACAGAAGCAGGTTAGAATCCTTCAGTAGGGCAACTACACCTGCAGCTTTTGTGTGTAGGTCATCGCCTTTAAAAATATCCACTGAACATTCAGGTGTGGTGACCTACCTCTTCAGCCCCAGCTACTTGGGAGAATGAGGCAGGAGAATTGCATGAGCATGAGTTCAAGACCAGCCTGAATCCCAGAAAATGGGACAACTGGTGCTATGGTTTTAACTAGAGACCGTGCACGTGTACATCTGATTTGTAGAAGGATTCCTGCATGCTCTCTATGCTTTTCCCACGTGGAAGTCAACATTCAAAGTCATCAGTATTTCCTTTCTCCTCTCTCGTCCTCTTACTTTCCTGCCTCCTTTCCCATTCATTCCTCCAAATAATGCACAGGAATGTGTGTGCTTATATGGACACAGGGAGGGATGCATCCACCCACAGAGGAATGGGGAGGCAGTTTTTGGCAGACTAAATGGTGTCCATTAGGGTGTAACATCAAAGTGTCTCAACATTGCTTTCAGTTCTGCCTTTCTACCTCCCAGGTATGGCTACTAGGCAGAAGGAAGCCTAAATGCCCTCAACTTATGAGGCCACTTTAAAGTTCCCACAAGTACCTTGGATTAAACACCCCCAGTCAGTGAATCAACATTAGACATTGCAGGAGTCTAACCAATGAAACGAGGCCCCTTTGTTAATTATAATTTAATTATATTTTACATGGAAGAAAATAAGTCTAATTGTTTCATCTATTTCTTGTCTCATTCTTTTTTTAGGTATTCATTGAATGCCTGCCTCATACCTGACATAGTGTTAATTACTTCTCATACATTGTCTGACCATGCAAAAATTTAATAATCAAGAATTTTTTAGAAAATTGTATATTGAATATCTGGTTTGTGAGTGGCACCAGACTAAACACTCTCATGTCTTATATGTCCAAAAGAAATAAAAGACATGGTGTAGTTATCCAGTGCTTCTTTCAGCCCAGAAGCTAAAGAAATAGCACATAAACATATAAAACAAGTGAAGAAGGTAGCGTAACACACAAAAAAGAGATAAACTCAAAGTAACATTATAGATTTGCATAGTGCCAAAGTGACCTAAGGCAAGGTAGAAATCTGTTAGAGTTCAAATGCTTCATATTCTACCAGGGCCTTGGGACCTCATACAAATGATAGAAAGCATCTGGGGGCGGGGGGAATGTTTCATTTCCCCAAAATTGGGAAAAAGAGTATGCTGAGAATACTACATTTTTTCTTTAACTACATTCAGTAGCCAACACACAATGTGTGTTCCAGCTCTGAAGCAACACAGTGGCATAGGGAAATTTACTTTTTATCTCAATTTCAACCACTTAGGCCTGTCTAGCTTGGCTTATGCTGGCATCTACCCAGTCACTAACCAAGCTGGCTTGACTACACAGGAGCAGCAAGGTGGCATCTCTCCAAGTCAGTTAGCATCAGCTACAATGTCCCAGAAACATGATTTCCTCTAGAGCCATGACTCCACCAGCCTCTGAAATCAAGGAAAGCAAGTATCCCATGCTCTTGATTTTCATTCATTCAGACCCCGTCAGGAAGAAACTGCTTTTTGAATAACAAAACATCTTCTCATGTTTTCCTGCCACATCTTTTGTCTGAGAATGCTGGGCAGTGGATGGAACATCTCTTCAGACTCAGGAGCATCCCCTAGCAGCCTCAGGAATCATTTTCTTCCATTTCTGATTTCCTGTTTAAGCTAAGACACTCCTGTCACTCTTCAGCACCCAGGCTTGTAGTTGCTAATTGATTTTCCACTCTTCTGCACAATCGAGTGACAGATTTGATGGGCACAATTAGAACCACCTGCTACAAATTACTTCTTTCTTTTGTTTTTGGGCAACCACTCCTGGTCTAGGACTTTTAACACTTTGTGAGATAGAGAGGGGAAGAAAAACGGGCACTCCCTGCTGAATAACAGATTTTTATTTGCTAGTCTGTTGTTACAAAACTTTTTAATAGCCTGACACTTTGCTTTCAGACAAAGTAGGAATGCAAATCTTGAGTTTCAAAATTAGCATGGATAATTGTCTAAATGCACGTATATCTAAATCTTGAATCAATAAGCCATAGAATGTTTGGTACAAAATAATTAAAGTGTTATTTGATTTTGTGACTTTTTGCTCAAGAAGAGAAATTCTGCAATATTTCACTTTTTGTAGGTTTAAATGTGTTGTTTTCAAATATTTTTATAGCTCTGCCAATTTCTTACAACTTTCATAATCCCCCAAATACTTTTGCACTTAACTTTTAAAAACTGTGGTAAAATATACATAAAATAAAGTTTACCATTTAAACCATTTTTAAGTATACAGTTCAATGGCTTTACCTGCATCCACACTGCTGTGCACTCACTATTATCCATTTCCAGAATTTTTTCATCTTCCCAAACTGGAACCCTGCACTCATTAAATAAAACTCCCAATTCCCCCCTCTCCTCAGCCCCTGATGACCACATTCTATTTTCTGTCTATGAGTTTAAGTACTCTAGGGACCTCCTCCTATAAGTGAAATCATACAATATTTGTCTTTTTGTGTCTGGGTTATTTCACTTAGCATAATGTCTCATGGGTTATCCATGTTGCAACCTGTCAGAATTTCTTTCCTTTGAAGGCTGATTAAGATCCTATTGCATGCATTCACAGATTTTGCTTATCCATTTATCTAACAATAGGCATTTGATTTGCTTACAACTTTTGACTATTGTGAATAATGCCACTTCAACTATGAATAATGTACAAATTCAAGTCCCTGATTTTAGTTTTTTGAGCATTACTCAGAAGTGAAATTGCTGGATCATATTGATAATTCCATTTTTTAACTTTTTGAGGAACTAGCACACTCTTTTCCATTCGGCTGCACCATTCTGAATTCTCACTAGTAATATATAAGAGTTCCAACATCTCTATATTGGTCAGAATATAGAGATTCATTATTTTCCGGTTTATTTTGTTTTTATAATAGCCATCCTACAAGGTTTGTGTGTTAGAGAGCTTTCCATCGCTGTGAAAAATAAAAATCAGAAAAACAACTTAAAATAGGAAAAGTTTACTTTGGCTCATTGTTTCAAAGGCTTTAGTCTATGTCCAGGTGGTGGTTTAGGCCTGTGGTGTCATAAAACATGGAGGAGGGAAGGGCTCACCTCATGGCAACCAGGAAACAGAAAGAAAAGCAGAAAGAAGAAAGGGCTAGGGACAAGATAAAGTTTCCCGGGTATACCCCAAAGGATCCACTTCTTCCAAATGGGCTCCATCTCATACAGTTTCGCCACCTCCCAATAATTAAATTATTAATCCATCAAAGGATTAATCCATTGATAATGTCAGAGTCCTCATGATCCAATCACTTCCCTAAAGCTCCACTTCTGAGCATTGCTGCATTGAGAGCCAGACCTCCAATGCATGAGTCTCTGGGGAGCACTACATATCCAAACCGTAACACAGTGACATGGCATCTCATTGTGGCTTTGATTTGCATTTCCCTTGATGATTGACAATGTTGAAATATTTGCACATGCTTCTTTATATCTTCTTTATATCATTTCAGAGAAATGCTCATTCAAGTCTTTTGCCCATGTTTTAATTGGAGTGTTCATGTTTCTGTTATTGAAATATAGGAGTTCTTTATATATTCTATATTTTGATGTCTATGAAATACATGATTTTCAAATATTTCTCCCATTTTATGGGTTAATTTTTATACTGTTGGTAGTGTCCTTTGATAGACAAAACTTTTGATTTTGATGATGTCCAATTTATCCATTTATGTCACTGCCTGTGCTTTTGATGTCATATCCAAGATATTGTTGCCAAATCTAATAACATGAAGCTTTTTCTGTGTTTTCTTCTTAGAGTTTAACAGTTTTAGTCTTCATATTTATGTCTTTGGTCTACTTTGAGTTTATTTTTTTTACACAGAACAAGGTAAGAGTCCATTCTTTTGCAAGTTGATATCATTTTCCCAATATTATTTGTTGAAAAGACTGGCCTTCCCTCACTGAATGATTTGGCACCCTTGTTGGGAATAATTTGATACACAAGAGTTTATTTCTATTTTATTTCGTAGATCTATATGTTGGTCTTTATACCAGTACCACATAATTTTTTATTACTGTAGAGTGTAGTAAGTTGTGAAATCAAGAAATGTGAAGCTGGGTGTTGTGACTTATGCCTATAATCCCATCACTCGAGAGGCTGAGGCAGGAGGATCACCTTGAGTTTGAGGCCAAGCCTGGGCTACTTAGTGAATTCAAGGCTAGCCTGAACTCCACAGCGAGACCCTGTCTCAAAAAAAAAAAGAAAGAAAGAAATATGAGGTGCAAACTTTGTTCTTTTTCACAGTTGTTTTGGCTATTCTGAGTCCCTTGAA